CTGATGATATGCATTGTATGTGTGCAATAACATATGCCCATGCGTTGTTGTTTTTTTAAGTTGCAGAAAAAGTTTATTAGAAGAAAAAACACATTTCAAAGAAACAGAAGTGGGCCCAAGCAGTAGAGAATGGATCAAGGGCCATTATTAGAAAAGAAAGTACACTCCAAAGAGTTTGGAGCAGGCCGAGCAAAGGAAGCTCAAAAGGCCCAAGAGGGGCCCAGGGCAAGGGTTAGGGCCAGGTCCAGGGGGTCATTGTTAGGAGAAAAAGTACACTCCAAAGATTTTGGAGCGGGTCCCGAGCAGAGGCAAAGCTAAAAATGCTCAAAAGGCCTGCCCATGTGTTCTTGCTTCACTTGCTTCTCTATACTCCTTCCCTGATTTAACTATTATGATCTGAGAGTGACCATCTGCTCCTAATCCTTATCTCATTATATCATCTGCCTCTGGCCTACATGTCCAAACTTAACTTTCTATCTACTAATAACACACCCATTCCTTTTAAAGCTTCTTACGAGTACCATAGAATTTATCAATGCTTTTTAAAAACCCTGTGTAGGCATTTAGCTTTTGACACCCCATCTTGCTCTGAAGCCTGACCTAACTGATTTCTCCTCTCATCACAGATTTCAGTTATGATGGCTGTTTATTATTTCTATCTCCTGTTGTTATCTGGGTTAATATAATAACTTCTGTGTTGACTGGCTCATAAGATGCAGACAAACTTTCAGTCCTTTCACTACTCTACATCCAAACTCCAAGGATTAAGAGGTATAGAAGTTGGGCCTCACTCTCATGACACAATGTGAAGATAAATAAAATCCTGAAGTGAAATCATGGGGAACAAAGAAAAGGGCAATGATTTATTCATATTCCAATAAACACTAAAAACCAAAAATTTGGACTGTAAACTAGATCTACTTCAAATGATTTTTAAATTCTAGGTGTTCTAGTTTTTAACCTATTTATATTATTTCCAACATTAAAGTCAGAATAATATAAAAAGGTGTCTGATCTTTTTTTGTGTACAACCTGATAAACTAATATTTATAAAAGAAATCTTTACCAAGTGCAGAGTGTGGTGCTTGCTATACATGCTTTCAAGTTGAGGGACACTTCCTCAGCCAGGTGACCATGCTTAGCATTGTCAGTGATCATTCATGTTGACAGCACGTATACTGATATGAGAATTTTTTGTTTTTACCTTTTACCTATATGGTCTTCCTACAAAAACACCTTGTAATTCCAGTGCAACCATTTAAAAAAATATATATATGAAAGATCAAAACTGAGAGACATTCTACAAAATGCCTGACAAGTACTCATGAACTGTCAAGGTAATCAAAAACACTGAAGGCATGAGCAATTGTCACAGACCAGTGGAAGCTAAGGAGACATAATAATTAAGTGTAATGTGTAACGTGGTACCATGGATGAAATCTTGATACAAAAACACTAGAGAAAAACCAGTAAAACTGAAAAATAATGTGTTTAGTTAATAATGTATCAACGTTACGACAAATGTGCCAGTGTAATAAAAAATGTTAACAATGGGAACTGTGTGAGGAATATATAGGAAATTACTGTGGTAACTTTTCTTTAAATCTACAACTATTCTATATTAAAAAGTAAATTTTAAAAAAAATGTTTTTAAGTACTCCAGATTAGATAATTTCCTTTAGGGTTCTGTAAATCAACAGTTTTCTGAAAAATCAAGCACATAGAAAGCGATACCTTTTGACTGTCATTCCCCTTTTGGTTGTGCAACAAGCTCACGTTGTATCAAGGTTTGAAGAGATTGAGAGGCAAACATATTCTCTTAGCTACTGGAACTGTCCAGCAAGAAAGAGTGCTGATCCAGTCTGTGGTGCACCAGCCCTGGAGGTTCCATGATACAGCCTTCATCCAGTGTTGGGCTCTTACTGCTGGCTCTTTCCTTTGGCAAGGAATCCACTAATTGAAGTGCTGATAAACCAGTGTCAAAGAAATACCTGTTCTCCACTTAATGCTAGTTATACCATCATTTTCTCTCACACCATATCAACATAAGATGGGGAATAGAAAACTTACTCAGGGAATCAAGTGACCCAAGTATTTTCCACATGCTCCATCTAGCAGATCATATTTGCAGAAAGCAACATGCCCAGGGTTGAGAGAAGTTTTCAGTGGTCTAGGTTTTAAAAATGAGAATTTCAGTTATTTCTTTCTCTGCTGACCAAACCATGTAGCCTGAAATGATGACAGATTGACCAAATATTTCCTTGGTTAAGACTATACTACATTGTTTCCCCAAAATGTGGGTGTTTTTCAATACCAATGTGGTGCTGTGACGTGAAAGTAGCCCTCAGGCTACATGCATACAAGAGGGCTAAGAAGACTTTATTTACTTATTTTATTAGTTTCAGGTATACAAAACAATGTAACAGTTGGACATTTACACCCCTCACAAAGTGATAACCCCCCACCCCAAAGACTTGCTTTTTAATTACTCATCACAAAATGAACCATAAATGCATAAAACGAAGGCCAAAGAGCATGTAAGAATCACCATCCACTACACACACGCAAACACGCACGCACAGGTACACGCACAAGAATCCTTGAGAAATCTCATGAATTGACAAGGTCCTAGAAAAACGGGGCCAGACCAATATTCAGACATAGCAGGAAGACCAAAGTCTAACATCAAGTTGAGGGAAGCCAACAGAAGAGCACATGGACTGTCACTCAGAAAAGGAAAGTAAACAGGTCCAGAGCAGGTTTGGCTACTGCCTTCTACTAGAAGCAGTAATGAAATCTGTTACATACTCATACCGATGTATCACATAGCTCAGAGACTAGTCACAAACATTTATTGGTGTTCTCCACCGAGTTCATGTTATTCTTCCATCTTTAAAACTTCACATTCCGCAGTGTTTGTGCATAAAAATTTTCCTCTGTATTTGCTATAGAACTTAATATTACATATAAATCACAAGTTTTGGTACATCAGTTATAGGTGAGGAATTTATCTTCAATTTTGAAACTGATACATTTCCTCAGAAAGTTATCTGATGCAACCTCAGTAAATGTTCAAAAATTACAATTATCAAAATACATGATTTTAGTTTAATCTATTTCATGTTTAATGAAGTTCACCTGGCAGTAATGTCTTTTGTGTTTTTCCCTGAGATGTCTCTTTTTAATGAAGTCTTCTGATTATTCAGGACATTGACAGAAGTTTTCTTCCTCATATGAAGTCTCTGATGTACAATGATAGGCTGAATTCTGAAAGGCCTTCTGACATTCATTATATTTATAACATTTCATACCACTCTAACAGGGAGTTGCCTAAACTGCATGCATTTAACCAAAAGACCCAAATCTGTAAGAGCTCAACAGAGTAAAATCTTAATTGTTGCTTAAAACAACAACAAAACGGTGAAGATCTGTTAGTGCAGAATTCTGTTGCACCCAATTATTCAGACTCTAGCTTCTTTAACCTTCTATGTTCAATACACAGCACCCAAGTCTGCCATGGAAATTTCCCCATTCCAGTATAACACAGACAGGAACAATATAAGGTGACTTTTTAAGGCCAGACTTAGCTTAAAGTAATAGCACCATATTCCATGACCAGACCCACGTAGACTGGGAAATTTAGACAAGTTATGTACCTAGCACAAAGTAAAATAGTTGAAACAATTTGCCAGTCTATATGCAATAAACTACTCCACTGTGTTGTATGAATTCCTTTAGGACATCCCAGATTCATTACATAAAAGCATTTTCTCTCTGCGGTGCCTTCTGTTGTGATGTACTCTAAGGGCTGCCTTACGGACATAAGTTTTCCCACATTCATGACATCCATAAGGTTTCTCCCCTGTGTGAATTCTCTGATGTGCACATAGGTGTGTCCTTTGGGAGAAAGTTTTCCCACATTCATTACATTCATAACGTTTCTCCCCTGTGTGAATTCTCTGATGTGCTCTGAGGTTTGAATTACGAGCAAAAGGTTTCCCACATATACTACATTCATAGGGTTTCTCCCCTGTGTGAATTCTCTGGTGTACTCTTAGAGTTGAATTTTGGGAAAAAGCTTTCCCACATTCATTACACGCATAAGGTTTCTGCCCTGTGTGAATTCTCTGGTGTGCAGTAAGATGTGACTTTTGGGAGAAAGTTTTCCCACATTCATTACATTCATAGGATTTTACACCTGTGTGAATTCTCTGGTGTACTCTGAGAGTTGAATTGTGGGCAAATGGTTTCCCACATTGTGTACATTCATAGGGTTTTTCTCCTGTGTGAATTCTCTGATGTTCTTTGAGCTGTGCCGTCTTGGAGAATGATTTCACATATTTATTACTTTCATAGGGTTTCATCTCTGTGTGTGTTCTATGCTGTACTAAGAGGGTGGGTTTCTTGTAAGATTTCCCATATTCACTGTTATCATAAGGTTTCTTCTTTGTGTGAACTGTCAGATGTTCAGTGAGGTTTGACATCTGACAGAAAGTTTTCCTACATTCATTACATTCACAGAGACTGACCCCCAAATGAGTAGCAGGATAATGAATAGTGTGTGAATTGGAACAAAAGGATTTCCTGCTTTCCTCACATTCATACGTTTTCTCCCCTGAGCGGGTCCTCTCATGTTGAATGAAGTGTGCTTTCTTGTAAAAAGATTTCCTGCATTCATTACTTTCAAATGACTTTTCTCCTGTGTCACTTTCCTGATGTACACTGAGAAGTGAGTTTTGATACAAGCATTCCCCATATTTACCACTCTCGTGGAATTTCTCTTCTGTCTGAGTTCTCTGGTGTATTGTAAGGTCTAATTCCTGGCAATAGGTATTTGTATATCCATTAAAAACACAGAACTTATCTCCAGTTAGTGTCTTCTGATGTACTAGATGCGCTGAGCTCTTGCTCAAGTTTTCTTCACATTTACTGCTTTCAAAAGCGCCCTGTCTTGTGACAGTTCGCTGAAGTTGAGTGCGGGGTGAATTTCTGTTGAAGTTATTTCCACTTTCATTACATTCATAGTTTGTCGTAGCCCTGTGAATTTTACTGTATCCCACAATGGTGGTTTTGTCACAGCATCTCCCACATTCATTAATATCAAAGCATTTCTCTCTTGTGCCAGTTATCATTTGGTTAAATACAGTTGCTTTCTCACAGTTTTTCCTAAACTCATCATCCTGACAGGATTCCTCTCCTATTAGACGACTCTGAGCTGTAACACAGACAATAGTCCCATCATGTGAAACTTTTCCAAGTTCATTACATTCAAAAGGCTGCTCGAGACTTTGAAATATCTGATGATCTTTCTTGTAAGTGACAGCTTTCACATTTTTAGTATATTTGTAGGACTGCTCTCCAGTATGAGCTTTCTCATGTCTAATATCAAGCTGCAACTTTTCACATACATTCATGTTATCAGCCTTCTTTCTTGAACAGTGTCTACCACTAACAATCAATTCAGAAACAAGTGGCAAATTCATTCTACATGAATCACATTTACAGGGCATTTTTCCTGAAAAAATTGGAGTTATACTCAGATTAATTGGTTTTCCTAAAACGTTCTGCCCTTTATTACTCAATGTTTTGCTGTCACTGAATATTACTTGCCACAGAGGTATCTCTTGTTTTTCCTGGTTCCCCTCAATGTGCACATCAACTTGGTAATATCCTAAAATGAAAAAAATTGACAATGTCATATTTGTCAATGTCATATGAATTTGACATTCATTATTGAGAGGAGCTCACAGCCATATATATTTGTCATGTATTGTATAGTTTGGGGTCATGTTTACAAAATTAATAATTTATGCATACCGACAGAAAGACAGACACAGTCTCTCTTTCTCTCGCTCATCCATGTTTGTTTGTTGTTTTTTAAAGAACAACAAATAGACCATAAATGTTATTTCCACTACTGGCCCAGACAGAGCAGCCCCATTCTTCCCAGGTCCTCCATCTTACAATTGGAAACCCCTGGAAAAATAATTAACAAAGAAATGAAGATGCTAGAAAATGGAAAGAAGGTGGACTCTTGGACTTAAGAAATGACATGGAAGAGAATCCCAAGATTTTCTTTCTGCTTCCCATATTATATCGGGTGCTCAAGTGCTGGAGAAGCCTGCAATCCAAAGCCAACAACAGGGAGAGGTAAAAGAGCCCAAAGACAATCCTGTTTCTTTTAGCCAAAAATCTGAGCAAAAGGTGCTCTAACAGAATAGAAAATCTTTTTGACAATATCCACCATATTCAAGTCTCCCAGTCCCCCAAAAAGGAAAGATTAAAAAAAAAAAAAAAGAAAAGAAACACTCTTCTTTGCGGTTCTACCATAGATATAAAGAGTTTGTATACACTTGCAAAATTTTCCTTAAGCCAAACCAAGAACTCATAGGAAAGATCATGAAGAATCCTGAGAAATTTCCATTCATAAGGTATTCTGGGAAATGGTCACAACCGCCACAGCCAAAATTCTACCTGGAAACTTATTCCTATCTACTCTATGAAATCTGCACGGGCAAAAGCAACAAATCTGTTTGTTTAGGGCACTCGTGGCCAACTCATAGCACATAGGTGAAAAAAAAGAAGGAAAACATAAAACCAGAGGAAAGAAAAAGAGGTAGGAAGATACGGTAGGCCAAATATTACAGCTAGGATGAAGAAGCACTTGTAAAAACCATACCATCAAAATAAAAACACACAATACATTAAATAGCAGCTGAAGTCACATTATCAAATGCACATGAAGTATTCATCAAGACACACCACATTCTGGGTTGTAACACAAATCTTTACAATTATGAAGAGACACCATATAAAGTGAGATCTGAACCCATAGAGAAATTATACTAGAAATCAGTAACACCAAGTTATCTGGAAAAACACAAAATAATTCTAAATTCATACAGTTCCAATTAAACCATGGGCGAAAGAGGACGTCTCACAGAACATTAAGATATTTTGAAGTAAATGAAAAAACTCCAAAACATATAAATTTGTGGCATGCAGCTAAAATAGTACTCAGAAATAAATTTATAGGGTAAATTATTCACACTAGAAAAAAAAAAAGGCCTCTACTAGTTTCTAACCTTCCACTTTAGGAAACTATACAAAGAGAAGGTAAATCTAAAGAAAGCAAAAGGAAGAAAAATAATAAGGATTAGAGAATACAATGAAATTGGAAACAGAGAAGAATCAATCAAGCCAAAGCTTACTTCTTTGAATAGATTTTTTTTTAAAGATATAAACCAACACAGAAAAAAATGAAAAGACACATTATCGATATCAGAAATAAAAGCAAGAGGGGATATAACTACTGACATAACAGACATTAAAGAGATAATAAAGACTATTACAGAAACTTTATGCCCATAAATTTAACAGTTTACATGTAATGGACACATTTTTTGAAAACAAAAAACTACCAAACTTACTCATGTAGAAAGAATAACCTAAATAGATATATTTAAAAAATTGAGTATGTGGTCAAAAATATGTAGTTCAAAAACCAGCTCCAGGAATAGGTGGTATTAACTAGTGACTTCTACCACACATTAAAAGAAGAAATAATACGAATTTTACATAATCTGTTCGAGAAAATACAAGACGAAGATGGAACAGTTCCTAAATCATTTTATAAGGACTGTATTATCCTCATAGCAAAACCAAAGAAACAATCAAGGAAAAAAAAAAAACACCCTACAGATCAATATCTTTCATGACATAAATGTAAAAACTGAAAAACAGTAGCTAAAAGAACACAGCAATATACAAAAAAATAATAATAAATCAGGGTCAAATGGGATTCATCCCAAGAATACAAACTGTTCCAATATTAAAAATAAAAAAATCTAATCCATCATATTCATCATCTAAAGAATTTTAAAACCACACAATCCAATAAATTAAGGTTAAAAAAAATGTTTCACTCAACTCAGAATCCACTCATTAACCTAATAAAAATAATCTACAAAAAGCCCATAGCTAACGTCATACTTAACAGTGAGAGACTGAATGCTTTAACCCTAAGATTGGGAAAAAATACAAGGATGTTTACTCTCAGAACTTCTGCTTAAGAGTGTAATGGAAGTTCCAGCCAATGCAATATGGCATGAACAAAAATGAAAGACATAGAGTAAGTCTACACAGGAAAATCACAAAAAGAATCTTTAAAAATGCTCGAGGGCCGGCCAAGTGGCTCTTTGTTTAAGAGTTGGCTTGATAACACGTGCTCTGAGCAGCAGGGCCACCGATTCAGATCCCACATGGGCCAATGACGCTGCACCCTCTACAGTTAAGATGGTGAACAACAGCTCCACCAGGAGCTGGGCTGCCGTGAGTCGCCAGTGACGGTGTAGGCAGCAGTGGGGCTGCAGTGGGCTGCCGTAAGCTACCATGAGTGGCTGGCAGCCGCCATGAGCAGCCGTCCAATGGCCAATGACTGATCTACCTCAGCCAGGAAGAGCGCAATGATCACAAAACCAACATGGGCCAGTGAAGCGACGTCCTCCACAACTAGACTGAAGAACAAAAGGACAAACAACTTGTCTGTTCCCCTTCCCCGATTTCCCAACGCTGTTCACTCCCCCAATTCCCCAATAAAATCTTTAAAAAAAAAAATGCTCCTTGAAGTAGTGTTTTCAGCAAAGCCAAATTACAAAGCCAATATTCAAAAGCCAGTAATATACAAATACGATCAATTGGAATTTGATACCAATTAAACAACTTATCCATACCATGCATGTGAGCATGCATGTACACACAAACACACGGCATCGCTAAACTGAAAACTGATGAAAGAAATCAAAGAAATCCTAAATTAAATGGAGAGGTATATGTCATCTTGGGATTGGAAGGCCATATATTATTAAGATGTCAATTCTCTTTCATTTCATCTATAGATTCAATGCAATCCAAGCTGAAAGACCAGCATGCTTTTTTGTAAGTATCAAGAAGCTCATTTTAAAATTAATACCGAAGAAAGTTGGTAGACTCACATTACCTGATTTCAAAAATTAATTAATAGAGCTAGTGTAATATAGTTAATGTGGTATTGGCATAAGAATACATAGATGAATAAAAAAGACCAGAGATGCCACAGATATACATTCTTAGACATACAGAATTATGTAAAAATATACATATGCAGGAATATGCAAATATACCCACCTGTTTTCTAAGATCTTATAAATGCTAATCAGTGGGAAAATGATAATCTTTTCAACATAAGATGCTAGAATAACTGGTCTCCCTCTTCAAAAATTTAAACTTGAGGGCGGGCCGAGGGGCGTGTTGGTTAAGAACAGGCTTGGGACGCCAGAGGGCCCCGGTTCGGATCCCACATATGAGGGCCAGTGACACTGCCCTCCACAGCTAAGATGCTGAAC